CCCCTTCTAAATCGCTTAACATGTAGCATCATCGTATAGCTATCAAATGAGGATGATAAATGTTTGATGTGCTACACTCACCAGTGTTGAAGAGTTTCTGATTGTGTTGACAGCTTTTTCAGAGTTAGTGAAGTTGAGGTAGAGACTTAAATGCTATTCTATACTGTTTTAGATGAAGATCCGTAGTGTTGTGATTTCGTCAGTATACGCTTCGCTTCTCTTTAATCCACTTTTTCTGGGTGCATATTTACATCACACAAAAAGTCTCATGAAATTACTCCTGATGAAATGAAGACAAGGAGATTGAATTCAATCCGATTTACTGTTTTCGCAAGAAGACACCTCATATGCATTACGAAATTCATCCCCAAACTCTCAATCATGATTTCCGTACTGCTTTTGCAAATTCGTTTGATTTTTATTGGTTTCTCGCATGGTTATATCTTTATTTTAATTTGATTCTGGTCCAGGAGGAGTCGATAAGTACTTGCTTCACGAAGTTAATTCTCCATTGGGACATATAAAACGTTTATTTTTCTCAATCAAAGGTCTCATTTAAGCCTGTCGTCTAAAAAAGTTTACACTGATGCAAATGCAACAACAGAAAGGTTTAAATAGAATCACTGGAATGCCTGATAGTTGGTGTTTGCAGCATCTCATTGTCCTATCGGTTATATCCTAGTCAAGTGCTTCAAGGAGCTTCACCATCTATCAGCTCAGATGTACTTCCATATGTGGTTATCTGGAGAATCAGAATTATAAGATTTGGGCTTAGTCGATAAGTGTATCCCACGAAATACAGTAGTCGACACTTTACTACACAACTGGATATTCTATAAGGTTCATTGGGGTAAGAGCGAAAACGCAGTTACATCTACCAATGCGTCATAAGGCGTCCTGTTTAAATAGCATATCTGTACCTGGTTTTAAAGATGAAGGTGAAACTCCGGTCAGATTGTTTGATGACATTTGGTTAACTGATGTTATCCAATGTTTCTGGAATGCGGACATTACTGAATCTATCCTTATGAAGAGTTTAAGTTTTGCGTGCGATAAACATCTAGATACAAGCCCTTTACTAATCAGAATAAAAGTACTGGTTGGTGTCATACTTCATTGACGTTGCGAGACAACTAAAAAATGGCTTTGGAAAAGTGAAGGCTCTAGTATTATGGATCATGAATCAGTTTACTACGCGTTCACATTCCACCAGTTTCTTAATATCAGTGACAAATATTGCAGACCACTAATCGATGTATTTTCCCATGTGAGACCTTTATCGGATTTGTTGGTTAGCGCTAATGTTTCAAAATATCGTAGGGAATTTGTCAACATGTTAGAGGTCACTCACGAAACTCTGTAGTTAAAAGTGTGGACAAACAACTAGTGAAGTCAATTACGGCTGATCAATTCATGTATTCCTATTCGACATTTTAGTCTATGACGTTTTACAAACAGATCTGAAGTACGAACACATTCGAATAGATTTACTATTTGAAAGAAAGGTATTGAATCTTGAGTATATGAAAAAATATTTTGTTATGCAGTATGAAAACATTCAACCTCGGCAAGTACGGATCTGTTTTTTGTATCTTAGAAAATTGCTTCCTCTCTCAAGTAGGGATGTACAATAATTCTGAGTATTCGATCATTTCCATTTCTGTATATAGGACTGCTTGCATTCCTTGGTGATATTATTACGTATCTTTATATTTGAATAAAGCAAGAACAACTGCTTTTGCAGAATAAAATGGTACCATCATTTATTTCATTGGCTTCTCATCATCTGCTTACAGCATGTCTACGGGAGAAATTTTAACATAACTGCCCAGAGTTCATATAAATCAATCAATATATACGTACACTGTTAATTATAATAATCACTTTATCCTAAACAATAATAATCATACACAATGGAATCTTTTGGCGTTGCGTAATCAGATGAAAGACTGATAATCGCCTCTTTCTGAATTCATAAATTGGGTTTCAGGTGCTTCATATGCCCCTTTAATATCTATGGTACACTTAATAATACCTACACTTTTGTGTTTGACCTAATTAATAATAAATGATATACATAAGAATCATGTGTCAGTTGTTCACAGGTAGTAGTTACACAGGTGGCACAGGTTCGATTCCTGGCCCTTACACTCCCTAAGCCTCACCTTGTTTGCTAGGCGACAGTTGAGGCTGAAAAGAGGTAAGGATGGCTATGAAGCCAACAGATCTACTCTGTGGAAAAATCAAACCCATTATCATCAGTGAAACTTCAAGATTTGAGGTCCTGTGTTCCACTTGAAGCGCAAGGAATGAAAAGGAATCAAAATGCGCAAGAATCTAAGTTGCAATATGCATCAGGTATGAATGAGTTTCACAAACAGATACAAACCAAATGTTGTCACCGATCTCGAAACTATTGAATTTTCTCACTCTTCTTATAAAAACCTTCATCTGAGAAGCTTTCACAAGTGGAAAAGATAATGAGTACACTTCCACCTAATTTTATACAAACCCCTCAGGTGATTTAACACTGGGGAATTTCGCACACCTATTTCTGTCTTAAAGTGAGGGTTTTGTGTTGACTCCTAAAAATGTGTGATTCACCTATTGAATACAAATCTAAATTGCTGATAACCAAAGATTAATTTCCAAATTAGAGAAAAAAACTACAGAGTGAGCAAAGATATGTACTTCTTTTCAATTAGTTCTTCATCACTGGCACCACACTAATATGTATTTGTTTTACATCGAAATGCTTTACCAATCAAGTGGTTACTTTAGTTAATAAGTTTTAAGTACAGGCTGGTAAAAGAAAAAGAAAATGACTATGTTTTAATGACTAAACGAACAGACGGAACAGTATGTAGACGACTGCATCAGAAACTTACATCAACTGGACGATATATTCACTTTCTAAGTGACATCCCCCTAAAATACAAGTAGTTTGATTAGATTTCTGGTTCACCGGTCTACAGGTATTTGTTCAAATAAAACACTCAATGAAGAACTAGGTAATATTTGTGATCTACCATGAAGAGTTGGATATCTGACGAAGTTTTTCAATAAACATTTGAAGGAGGTGGTAAAAGTAGGATGTCATCACAGCGTCTGAGGACAGCCTTCAACAGGACTTTCAGTGCAGCTATGTTATGCCGTTTCATTCACTAGTCAACCAATACTCAGTTCAAGAAGTGCGGAGGAACTGGTATTTTTCACTTCTTCCATGTGTATTTATGCGGTTAACGGCTTCTTTAGAGCTAGTTACATACAATGTACGACCAGGCAAGTTCATTGCCAAATTTCTGAACACCTCCCGTCTTGATTTGGCTAAGGTTTACTAGTACGACTCGTAAAAACAGCAGAGGCAATCGGAATTCATCCCATATCTGTGTGGGAGTTCAAAAGAAATCTGTAAAGCCCATTTCTTCATCATGGCCAACCATGCAATCAAACAAAATCCCTACAAAAACCAATACTTGAAAACTACTTAATATGCATTAAATTCTTAAAAATGACGTTTTCTCCTCCTCTTGAGAATACCTTTTGACTTCATTGATTTTTATAATTCTAGATAACTCATTTGACTTGTTTGTATTTTACGTAATTCTTCGAAGTTATTATTTTATTATTTTTTCCTTCACGTTCCCAGTGGAACATAGGGCCTCAAGCTTGTGGCTTGAAGTTTCTGTAGCAGTGTTTATTTTACAGGATGAGGTTGCTAGCCTCACGCCCAACCTTTCCTCTTTACCAGCATTATTTCTGTCTTAGTGAGGTAAAGGACTGTGTCGGCCAGGGATTGAACCCAGGACCATGTGCATGGTCGGCGAGCGTCCTAACCGCTGTGCCACCGACGCAGTCTTCTGAGTTAAATAAAATATAATTATGTCTTAGTGGTTCGCACACAATGATAAGTTTTCGTTATTGGTAATATTACGAGCAAAATTACTGCCCTTCTTCACACCAGCCGTTAGACTTGTATTGTATTTTAATTCTTCTGAGTTATCCTTTCTTTCTTAGTCGTCATTATTTTTACAAATCTCTCGCTTATGTAATGACTTGTTCCTAAGGCCCAAGATTCAACTTATCTTGAATTCCGTGATTAATCAGTTTTCACCCCTCCTTCAAAACCTAGATATCCAGTTACTGACATATATTGGTTGATTGTTTTGATGACTTTTAACCTCTCGATTTCGACCCACCTATACCTAAAAATAATCAAAACAACTACTTGATTGGCGAAAAATTCTGATGTAAAAAAACGATATTAGTGTAGAGCTAGCCGATGATGATGAGGAACTATTTGAAAAGGAGTGTATATTTCTTTGCTCAATCCATTGTTTTAACCAAAGACTAGTAAAGATTGAACGGAAACAACACACTTTTCAAAGTGATTAGTGCATACAAATATAGGTGTTGAAGAAAAATTTGTCAATAAGACATTGTGAATATCATGGACAAGAGAATATAAGGTGTCATAAAATATTCTATTATCATAAATTAATTAATATAATGGATTACAGTCATGTCGTTATTGATGTTTGTGTCAGATCAGAGAAATGACAAGGTAGTAGATCTAATTAGAAAATTTTCAGTTGAACAACTACCTGACAGTAAAATTTACAGTATAAATCTCCAGAAATTTAAGTGGCTTCTTCATTTCTCGTTTGTAAGGTAAGTAAGTCTTTTATTCTACTAAACAGTCATGGTTGGTATTCATAACTTCAACTTTATGATAATCGACATGTACGCCGATTTTGTAGTGGTTAAATAGTTCCTAGCCAGTACATTTGGTGTTGTCGGTAGAGTTTATCGTGCATTCTATTACAATTGGACTTCAGGATAATATCTGACTAATTGAGTAGGGTGTTTCTCATTCCAACGGGATAGATAATATATGAAACATAGTAATCAACTTCCGCTGACAATGGTGTTGCATTTCTGTGATTACCATTTCAGAAGATAAAGAAGAAATGGCTCATGTATCGACTACGTGTTTCATCATGGTAGGATTATTGCTGTTGAATCTGGTAGAGATCAGTCCATATGTTCTACAAGCTGAAATGAAATTCGACGATAAAGGTGAGTAATTTGATTGCCTCCTCATTACTTCTCGGTAAAACCTTACATGTTTTAGAGATGTGTATGTAGAGATCTTCTGCTGTTGCAGAGGTGTACACATGTTTCCTTCGCTTGTATCGTAAATGTAACACCCCCAGGCAACATGAATTATGCTTATAAGAATGTCATGAAATCATTAGAGACCAGTTGTCATGATTCATATCAGAATGTCTTCAGGAACAATTGTTGAAAAAGTGGTGTTCATACGTCACCACCCCCGCCCTCTCGTTCGCGTGCGTCATAATAACCAGATACCAGATACCTCTAATATACATTGTGTCGGTCAGACATTGACAACTTTTCGTTTTCCATGACAGTTAAATGAGAATAGATGGTCAAATATTGGCGGACTGAAGTCAGATTTCACTGCAAATAGGCAGAAACTTTTTGTAATGAAAATCTTCAGTACTCACAGATTTACTTGACGATTATAGCCTACTGGAAACCAAAGCCGTTACTCTTGGGTACTACAAAGTTTAAATTATCATAGACAAGAAAACACTCGATCAGAGCAACTAATAATTCATAATTTTTCAACACTGTTGAATACAAATTAATTCTTAGCGCAAACAACCACGCATATTCACAAGACACGATGGATGCAGTTATGCAGTTGGATAAAGATAGTTATGTTGTTCATTGGCAGTTTGTTCGTGAAAAATCAACACATTGCACATGCGACAGAAGAAACACAGTGTGACTGCCTGACAATCATTCTTTCTCAGTAACTGAAGAGTAAGAAATCAGAACTACTTCATGACTCTTATTCCTAAATGATACGGAGTATTCAAGATGATTGTATGTATTATTTCTTGCACACTGTCTCTATCTCTCTAGGTAATCGATATGTGAAAACTGACACAACATACTACGGACTGGATAAGAATCATACACTGACAATCAAGGTGGACGATTGTGTAATCACATTGGATTTCTCTCCTCCTAAGAAATCTGAGATCAAGGAAAAGAAGGGTACTCGAAAGGTTACAGTGTAAGTGTATGGCATTCTTCATGATCATATACCTGGGAATATGTATTATCATTTAACTGTGTGTGGATGGTGACAATCAGTCTGTGTAATAATAACCGACTTACTATTAGTAAAATTATATGTTGGCGGACTACCAGCAGTCAGTATACCTTAGTGCATTTTGAGTAATTTTTTACCATAGCTGAAATAAATGACAAAATAGAAAGGATGCTATGAGCATTCTGTTGAAGTAAACCATTAACCATTGTTGAAAATGATACCCTCCACTCTCATGAATTCCGTCTTTAACACCAAAAGTGAAGTTACACTTTATAAATTTGAAATCAGTCACCTAAATGACACTCTTTATTGAGTCGTGATTAATTTGAAATAACTGGCTGAAACAGTGCCACAAAATGGCTGCCTCAGAATTACCTATCAGTATCGTCGAAACATTCTTCACATAGGGTGTCCGATAATACAGCTTATTATTATCATTCCTAACTTCAGCTGTTTACGATACGATTGCAGATATCACAGACGATATCAGTGATGATCAGCTTTGGAACACCCAGATTCATGCTGCGTGTCAACAGGCATGATACCGAGAGCAGGCATTGGCATCAACAGATTTATCTTTGCTAATGCTCACCATCTAATAACTATAGCACAACAAGCATTAATGTTGCGTCTACTAGCTTACCTATCAGTCGCAACGGACACTATTACCGATAGATTCTGATCAATACCTGGGCTCCGGTAGTCAAATCTGCAATCAGTCGATATACACGAAACCAGCTAAACAGTATATCACTCTTTGCCACAATAATCTAAATTATCTGAATCATGCTAAGAACACAAAGTTCCTCATGCCTGAACATTTGCTTCAGTGATTAGTGTCAACAAGCATAAAAGAGGCATTCAGAAAGCCTTTATGACAAATTTTGTGAATATTGGAAGACACTGGCTGCCACCTGCATCATATATTAACACTAGTAAATTCAGTAAATTAAATTACATGCATCTTTTGTGAAATCAAGTTTTGTTTTTTATTATATCTCAACAGGACTAAAGGATGTGACAAAGTGTTTAAGAAATCTGCTGAATTGAAAAAAGCTAAGAATTAAACATTTCATTTTGGCCGGTACAACAGTGAAAGTTCCAAGAAGATAATTCTTTGTCTTGCAAACAGATGATCTTACTTGTCAGATAATAAATACATTTCGTTCAATATCGATGAATTTCTGTATTTTAAACCCTTGGACGCTGTCATGTATGATAACATATATTAACCAATCAAATCCCTGCAAACCAACATCCTAATATCAATTTGATGTTCAATAGTGACTGCCTCTATTTAGGACAGTAGTTACCTGGGTTCTAGTGGGAAGTCATGTCCAGTAGGGTACAGCAGGTCAGGTGGGAAGACAAATACTCATCAGCGATGGCATTCGCTAGTGGTCACTCAATACAGTGAATTGGCAGAAGTTGGATCACAAGGGCCATTTGATCGGATCAAAGTGATTTAATGGTCTAAAAGCTCGCCTTGTCACTGAGGGTCCTGAGTTCGAACCTTGGTGGTGAGTAAGTACTTCTGAAGAGTCCCACACTAGGCTGGCAGAACAGCTGTCCAGTACTCCCTGCAGGGTTTCCAATGGTTCACTAACCGATGTCAGCTCATGATGAAATCCTGAAGCCAGCCGATCAAATCCCTGCAATCCAACACTTGAAAAGATAATCTCGTTGCGTTGTTCTGATTGTCGTTTTTACTAATTTCGAGGTTGGTAAATTTTTTACCAACATTCCCCAGTAACTTATCACAAGATTGGGAGAAAGAACCTGTAAATCATGGCACTTGGATTTTGTTTTGTTGTTCAGGAGACGCTGAAGAGAGATGAGGCTGATTATCAACCAAAAACCGCTGGAACCCGCTTCCTCAAAGTCAATTGCGCAATATATCTTTGATCAGAGAGAGCTAGACTTTTGATTTTCTCACTTCCATTAGCTATATTTCGTAGCCCTTAAGGAGTAAATGTAGAGCTGATGCGTCGTATAGGCATCCATTGATCCATAGCCAGATATCACGTCTACTCCAGAGATGACGTGAGCTAGCAAATGTCACATGAGCCTTTTGTATTCACCCTGAGATTTCGTCAGCAACCAGTCCACTGGGGTTGAGTGAAGTGGTGAACCAGGAATCGGTGCAGACCAATCCTAAAGTATCATCCAACACTTTATAAGGGCAAAATACATGCCAAATATTCGATGATTTCCATCAAGGTTTCTAGAAGTATGTTAGTGTTCTCATTTAGGAGAACAGCGTCATCTGCATACTCTAAGTCAGCAACGCTAATTCCAGGTAACAGATTAATCCGCAAGTCGCCAAAGTCAGTTAGGGTCAATTGCATTAGTATATCTATGATGAAATTAAACAGAAGTGGAGACAGTGAGCATCCATGATTGATACCACTACTTGTCGTCACTTCAGATGACATCTTTCCTTAGGCTCCCTCACAGCTCTATGAATTGGAGTAGAGTCCCTTGATTAGTGCTATCACATTCTTAGCTTTTTCTTTACGATCGAACATTACCACAGCACCCATGAGTCAACGGAGTCAAATTTCGTCTTTAGATATAGAAATATGGCAGTGTTTTGATGCTGATAGCTATACTAATGTTCCAGAATATCTCAAAAGCTGAATATATGATCCTGGGCCAAAGCCTGCCTGGTTTTCTTGAGTTGTTTCTCCCAGTATCACTTAGTTTATTTATGATTGTTGAACTTGAAAATTTGTATACTATATTAGGCAATCTAATCACCCTGTGGTTATCAGAAGATTTGTCTCCCTTCCCATAAACTGAGATAGTCATTGATTTACACTAGTCTAGTGGGACTATCTCTTATTCCTATACACTAACTATGACCTCAGTTAACTCAGACAGTAGCTCGTCCTCATCTTCCCTAAACACTTCTGGACTCATTCCATCCGGTCCTGTGGCTTTGTTTTGTTTCAGATTACAGACATTCTCTGTAGCCTGAGTTACAGATGGAAGACCAATGTTCATATTCCTTTCACGCAAGTTTCGAGTACTGAGAAAGTTGACTGTAGTTTAAGGCTAGTTGAACTCCTCCACAAAGTCTCCATTACAGTCCTACATGAGGTCAGTTCCGAGCCTGAATGGCTTAGTGGTAACGTCTCTGATTGCAGCACTGGATAACGCGGTTTCGAATCTCGGGAGGGACTTGAATCCCTTAAAGGTTGCAGGTACGCCTTGCTGACCAGTGCGTGCCAACTGGCATGAAACCTAGGTCAAACAAGGCTTCTTGTCGATTGCTTCCAACCAATTAGTAACAACATCTCCACTTTTTTCCATTTTTTGCTGTCCTCTTCAGCTGGGTCCACAACTGCCCATAGTCTTCCATCCCCTTGCACAATTTCCTTCATATTACCCTCAGAGTACCCACTTGTCGTTTCCCATTCGGGTTCCATTTGAGTGATGGTCTGCATTGCTCGCGATTTCATTCGACGGCCTCCTCGGAGTATGCTTAGCCCATATCCATTTTCCTATGCATATTTGTTGAACAACAGGTTCTTGGTCAGTTTATTCATAGTTAAAGCTTCTTGTTGCTATTCTTTGTATAAAGTAAAGTCATCCGTGTTATTCTGAAACAGTGTTTCTTGTTTCTCCACTAAAATTCACAGGACAATTAAATCAATACTCTTGGGAATACTGTTCAAAATCTTCGGGTAGAAATAAAACTTAATTATGAGGAGTATGACAGTATAATAGCTTCCGCAACAACGCAAAATATATTTTTATTAAAATTACGAAAACGAAGTAAGCTGGGTAACGTTCATAGGAAACAATAAAATCTTCTAAATATTAAAGAAGATACAGGAGAGTTTTCCATTATGAAAAAAAATATCTGTTTGATAATGTTCACCGATGATCATGGCAATTATAGTATTGAAAAAGTGAAGTGCAGCACAGCAAAGAGAAATTCCATCTTCTTATAGCTTGTCTTCAAAGATGATGATTCTGCTAATATAAAAAGACTCAAACAGAAGGCTGCCCTGAAAAGAACATGTATGTATCAAAAGCCATCAGTTGTTTACGACAATCAAAGGTGAACAACCCCCTCCAACCTCCAACTATACCTGCCAGTTTATATGTATGTGTCAAAGCACATATATCTGAAGGACTGACAGAAGAGTTATTGTTTGCATTGTTGAGCACATATCAAAGAGCCTGAAACGAAAGGACTCACAAGCGTTAAACAGTGCTGCTACGCACCATCCTTTGGACACTTGTCCAATTGTGAACAATATGAAGGCGTTTGAAATAATAAACCGTTAAAAGAAGCCTAGTTTGTTAATTTCTGCTGAGACAGCTGACATGAAGCGATTAGAGCAAAATCTATGTATGCAGAAAGAGACAGTGGTTAGTTCTGCACCACTTTAATAATTAAGTTTACATAATAAAGTGGGCAATTTTATTAAGTCACGTATTTTCCTATGCCTACTGTCTTGTTTAGAAGATTTTACTGTTTCATCTACGCACGACTCACTCTACCTTCTTTCCTGTTATTTTATAAAAACATGTTTTTTGTTGTAACGTAACCTATTATATTGTTGTACTACACTGTTTCTAGTTAAAATTTATTTCTACCCAAAAATGTTGAGCTGACTTCTCCCGAGTATTGGACTGATTATCTTATAGATAGTCAGTCCATTCAAATTTAAATAACTTAACAACTTAAATCATTCGACCTTGTGTTATTCTTAGTTCCTATCAGCTACTCCTTTTCATGGATTATATCAGAAGTTCAAACCTTTCCTTTCGTAATTTGTATTTTTGTACTGCTCAAGTTGTAGCCAGTTGAGACGAATCCTTAAAATAATAAAAGATTAGATCCCGTTATCCCAGTACATATATATCATTCTTGTTTTGTTCAAGCAATTCTATGGTAGCTATTATTATGGGAGTGGACTCACCAAATTGTCAACAGGTGAGTCAGTGATCTACTCCGGTCACCCAGAAGATAACCACACGCACACCGAGGGCGTGGCTATCATGATGTCACCAACGGCAACGAAAGCCCTGATACAATGGGAGGCGATTTCGTCCAGGATAATGACCGCCAGGTTCAACTCCAAAGGAAGGAAAGTGTCAATCATACAATGTTATGCACCCACAAACAACGCAGACCTCGAGAAGAAAGAAGAATTCTACAGGCAACTACAGGCAACAATGGACAATACTCCAGCTGGCGACATGAAAATACTAATGGGAGACATGAACGCCAAACTGGGACCAGACAATACGGGAAGGGAACTCATCATGGGTAGAGAAGCTCTAGGAGAAATGAATGAAAACGGAGAACTCTTCGCCGACTTCTGCGCCTTCAACGAACTGGTGATTGGTGGCAGTGTATACAAGCACAAAGATATCCACAAGGCTACATGGGTGTCACCAGACGGGCAAACCAAAAACCAAATCGACTTCATCTCAATCTCAAGGAAGTGGAGGCGCAGCCTACTGGACACAAAAGCAAGAAGAGGAGCAGACGTTGGCTCAGACCACTATCTCGTACAAGGGACAATCCAAATCAAATTAAAAGCTTTCAGGGAATCAGGAGCTGCAGATAGACCACAAGCCAAGTTCAACACTCAAAAGCTGAAGGACCAGGCTACAAAGGACATCTTCATTGCAAGCATAAAGGACAAAGCCGAGACACAAATCAACACTAGCGAAAAGGTCGGCGTTGAAAAGCACTGGAACAACTTGAAAACGGTGTGGAGCCAAACCTGCATAGAAATTCTAGGCAGAAAAAAGAGACAGGACAAACAGTGGCTCACTACGGACACTTGGAAACTAATAGAAGAGAGAAGGACAGTGAAGCAAAAGATTATCCAGTGCACTGACGAGCAACAAAAACAGGAGCTGAATGCAAGCTACAATACACTGAACAAAAGAGTGAAGAAAAGTGCCAGGGAAGACAAAAGAAAATATTATGAAACCATGGCAAACGAAGCAGAACAAGCTGCAGGCAAAGGAGACCTCGCCACACTCTACCAAACAACTAGGAACCTTTCGGGCAAACGTTCGACACAGATTAAGCCAATAAAGGACGACAATGGAAAGTCAATCACCAAAGAGGTGGAACAGAGAAAGCACTGGGTTGAACACTTCAAAAGACTTCTAAATCGTCCGCCACCTACAAC